ATTATCTGTCCCTCTATAGTCTGGTGCAGTGGGTGAGTTGTTGTACAGTTGTAGGGAGTATTATCTGTCCATCTATAGTCTGGTGCAATCTGAATCAGATTTTATGTCCCGACAGTTACTCTCTAAGATACTCTAAGGCTGCGTTCAGACTGCAGCCTGAAGTGACCCAAATCCCCTTTTTTGGCTTCTATGTGACCTGTATCTGATCTTTTAATGACAGTCTGAACGACACAAATCCGATTTTTTCAAATGCGACCCAGGCCACTTGGATATGTGGTCCTAAAACCTATACATATCTGATCTTTTGACATGCGACTTCAGTCTGAACGGCCAAAGCTCATATTAAGCCATTTTCCGATCTATGTTATAATGTTTCCTCATGAAAAACAGACCTGGAGTTGTGTTTTGTTTCATTCACACATGTTTAACACACAAATCCTGCATATTTAGGCTGAGTTTTTCTCTCAAACTGAAAATAAAACTCCTATTCCACCTTGTGATGTCATGTGGTAATACAGAAAATGCTCCACTGTGTTTTTAAACTCCATGCACCTTCACTAAAATCATCTGGATGACCAGCCCTGGAATTGCCAATCTCTACTGAACTTGTAAAAGCATTTTGAACTTTGGAGATGTAGACACACTAATAATAAAGCATTGTTCAAACATGTGTGAATGAAACAAAACAAAAGTGCAATAACAACATTCTAACATGGCTTAAAGCTCACAAGAGTCCATGTTGTCTAATACAGGACCTTTAACACGACTAGAAGAAGTGCATGGAACATGAGTTAGAAATGTGCTGTGTTCAAGTTGTGGTGGTCCTTCTAACCTTCTAAGAGCCTCTCATTTCTCAGTCATATTTGATTAGTGTGTTGAATATTGCAATAACCCAACTGATTTAAAAAGTAAAACTGCTACTAGTTTGTGTATGAGCATCAGACAGAGACACAACACGACTCTGAGTGAAGAGAAAAGAGGCAGGGTCATCATCACATGAGCTCAAATCATCACTAAATGTAAGAAATCATGTGGGGAAATAAAGTAAATAATGTAAACAACAAAGTATCAATCTGAATATTTTCTATGTCATTTTAATACTCCTTTTGGTATTGATTCACCAACACTTAGGATTGATTTGCACAGCCCTACACAACAGTTTGATACAAAAAACCTCTGTAAACACGTCATTTTAGCAGTGCAATAAATATTAAAACAGCTGATGAACAATGTTGGTAAATAGAGCAGGTTTTATCAGACTATTTCACTTATTATGACTATTACAAAAAGTTTCAAAAGTACTCAAGTATTTACCAGACTGTTACAACACATATATATTGATGATGGATTAAGATGATTCCATGTATTTGATTTTGGAAGATCATATTATTTTTCTATGCAGCTAACCAAGTTAAGTCAGGTCACAATATTGTATCCTGTGATGTTACATAACATCGCAGGTGTATAAGGTAGAGTTGTGTTCACTTTGTCCACTTTCGTCCAGGACGGCACACAGATAGCAGCATATCTCAAGCTCTCCTCAACTTTTCAACTTTTACAAGTCACCAGCCCAAACAAAGCTTCAGCTCCTGTTCACATTGGATACGTGGTAAGTAGTCGCTGTTAGTGGTCGCTGTAACTCTGAAAACGAGACACAAATGAAAAAAAATTCACACTGGACGACTCTGTCAACATGTTTTGGTCCATAATGTTGTTTCTACACACAACTCATGAGTTTTATGATTGTGCTACTTGTTACTTCAAAATAATATGACTTAAGTACATGTACATAGTGTTTCAACAAGTTACTCAAGTAAGAGTAAAAGGTATTTGGGGAAACGAGTTCTCAAGTAAAAGTAATTATAGAGTAACTGTCTGGACATAACACCTAATCTGCAACTTGTAGCTTGGAGTGATGAAATATGTCAAAATGCACATGGTTTATTCAAAGACCAGATTGTAGACAGTGTTATTAAAACACCATCAAACATGACTATGTGTTGTAGTAGTTTAAAGTGTAAAATATGATGTTGGCTCTTAAGTACGTTGAGTTTAAATGTATTTGTGTGTTTTTACAGATATCCATGCACAACAGGACAATGAACTCTCCTGCCAAACCAGGGCCCTTCAAATCACATGGGCCTTCTCCAAGAAGAAACTTTTACTCTCCTCGAGACAATCCTTACACCAGAGCGGAGAGCCCTCTGCAGGTGGAGAAACAGGCCAGTGGTGAAAGAAAATCACCCAACACCAGCAGCACAACGGCGTCTACATCGAAGGTAAACTCCCATCCCACACAAACAAGTTACACATAGAGACACTGCGATTCAAACTTTTGCTAGTGATTTCTTTATATCAACCATAAAACGGTTGTCATAATGTGGTGGTAGATCATTTAAAGTGTTTTTTTCTTTTTCTGTAGGAGTTGGAACCCGTTACAGAGGAAGAGAAGGAGATGGCAGCCGAACTTGAAGCCATGATGAACGGCTTTATAAGTGAG